ATATCTCAGAGCCATAGGTTTGGTTGGCAAATAAATACCTTTTATGAAAAGCTGCTTCCTTATCCACGTAGTATTTGCTGACTGCTTTCCCATTTTACTTTTCCACTAACTCTTGTTTATTGAATCCTGGTCGTAATTGCATATAATGACAAAGATGCTCTGCTGGGTCTTAGCCCTGCTCCCCCTCTGATTTATTGCCCCATGTTCTGGCAAGCCTTCTTATCCTTATCTTTATGGGTTAAAGATACTAAGATTCTTTTTAAACAAGGTCCCTCTTCCTAGGTATGGTCAACCTATTTGGTTTTGTTTTCTGAGTTTTTCTGTTTGTTTGTCAATGAGAGCTACAAGAAATTCCATGAAGCCCTCCTTTTGATTGTTCTTCCATTTACTTCATGCCTTTTCCAGAAACAGTCCTCTTTCCAGGTATAGAAAGGCACTTTGTACGAATTTTAATTCCTTGGTACTCTATTTTTCTGGCAGGCCTTCTGTTAAAAGGTTTCTTCTTTAACAAAGCAGAAGTCATTCCCTTTGTTGGAAAATACAGTTGGGGCTAATTTTTTAATAGGCAAGATTATCCAAAAATCTTGAGTCAGTTAAGGATGTTTATAACCAGAAACATCCAAAACATGATTGAGTCCTCTCAGGATTTGTGTCAAGCAGGAGACATTGGTCTTCAGTTCCTCCACCCTACCTGTTCTAATCTTTAGATGGTGTTGGCATTTCAGGAGTTAGATAATAGGAAAGATAGCTATTTTTGCTCATTGGCTATTAGCACAGTTGTCAATGTCCAGCAAGATATCTAATGCTATGTATTTCTAAGGCCAGCTTTGCTTATGAACAACATAGTATAGCTGTTTGTTTTGTTTGGACTCCTTTCTGGGGAGGTGGGTGCAAAACCCTGTGCTGTACTTTCCCTCCTAATTCTAATTCCCACCCAATGACTCTGCTGAAAATAGGAGTTGTTGGTCCAGCCCAGCAGGCAGGGGGGAGCCTGGAGGTTGCCAGTGAGAAAAGTATTGGGGGCCTCCTTGCCCTCTGGTTGGAAGAGACTCAGCGGCCAGCCTAGGAAAGTCTTGGGGGGCAGACCCTAAATTGCATAGATCCCTCCCCTCCATTTAGAAATACTTAGCTTGCCTAGATCTCTGGAGCCCATGGGGAGAGGTCGGCATTGAAAACGTCACTGTGCCCATTTCCCCTCTTTGCCAAAGAAGGGAGCAACCTGAAACTCGAGGAGTTCCTGAATTTTGCTGCGGATGACCTGAAGTTTGAGTCCTCTCGGTCTGGAGGTTACGTGAGTGCTTGGCCTACACTCTCACTGGTGTGGGGCAGCTACATTGTCTGCCACCTAAGGAAATCAGTGACTGAAAAGCACCCAGCACAAGAGAAAAACAACTCCATTCTTAAGAAGATTCAATGACCAAAAACAAGAAGATTTAACAATAAAAAGGGGGAAGAAACGAAGCCACCAGAATCATTCCCTATCACAGTAAGCCTCTTCAGGGAAACAGATACCATCCTGTTGAAACTTAGTAAGAGCACTTGCTTTTAGCAAAGCAACCAAAAGACCTTGAGGAACTAAATAGTATGATTGTTCCAGACCAAAAATGTCAGTAGTAGGAAAGAGTGATCTTTGTTGAAACTTGAATTCATCACGTAGAAGATCAAGTGAATGAAGCACTTGACTCACACAAAATTAAGTCCTAAAATATAAAAATCAGGTGGGAAAAGTAAAATAGCTTAAAGAATATGCAGAGGAGACCCCGTGTGAATAATCAGCAGACCAAGAGGATAAAAAAGTTAGAGGTGAAAGGGACCCCTGGTGGCTCAGTCGGTTAAGCGCCCAACTCTTGGTTTCAGCTCAGGTCATGATCTCGGGGTTGTGAGATTGAGCCCTGCATCAGGCTCCGTGCTCAGTGGGGAGCCTGCCTGAGGATTCTCCCCCCCACCTCAACCCCTCCCGCTCATTCTCTCTCTCTCTCATTCTCTGTAAAATAAATCTTTACAGGGCGCCTGGGTGGCTCAGTTGGTTAAGCGACTGCCTTCGGCTCAGGTCATGATCCCAGGGTCCTGGGATCGAGTCCCGCATCGGGCTCCCTGCTCTGCGGGGAGCCTGCTTCTCCCTCTCCCACTCCCCTTGCTTGTGTTCCCTCTCTCGCTGTGTCTCTCTGTCAAATAAATAAATAAAATCTTTAAAAAAAAAATAAAATAAATAAATAAATCTTTACAAAAATATGAAGGTGAAGCAATAGTTGTGTGCACAATGTATGAAATTTTCCAGGCTAAAGAAAAAACTTGTGTCTCCAGATGAAAAGGGCCCACCATATTCTATGCAAAATTCCTGAATCACAGGGAATCTCACAAAATTTGAGAAAGAAGTAATAGAGCGAGAAGTTGCTGGAATAGTATCTACAGACTACTAAGGGAACAGGACTATGAAGAGTCAACCTTAAAATAGACACACAAAACTCACCTAATCCATCAAGATAAATTTCTGTTCCAGACACACCCCATCACACTTTCTAAGTCATTTCTTCAGAACATTACCACTCTTCAAAATTTTCACTAGTTCCTGTCTCTATGTCTGTTTTCTGTCTCTGCTACTAGAATGTGAGATGCCTGATGTACAGGGAATTTGTTTCCTGTAACAGTAGCTCTTAAAACAAATATTAATTGATTAACTGCCCACTTTAAGTTTTAGAATTTAAAGTCTTTTATACAGTAATTTGTAATACGTAAAATGTTTTGGACTTGAAGGTGTAGTTTTTAAAATTCATCTCGGGGCGCCTGGGTGGCTCAGTGAGTTAAGCATCCAACTCTTCGTTTCGGCTCAGGTCCTGATCTCATGGGTCGTGAGATCAAGCCCCGCATCGTTGGGCTTCATGCTCAGTGGGAATCTGCTTGGATGTTCTCTCCCTCTGCCCCTTACCCTGCTAGCTCTTTCTCTCTCTCAAATAAACAAATCTTTAAAAAAATAATAAAATAAAATTCATCTCCTATCAGATTTGTACCAGAGAAGCGAATCTTATCTATTTACAATTTTTTTTTTTTTGGTTCAAAAGATATTTTTTAAAAAGTCTATAGAAATTGTTATCAAGATTTTAACATTTTAAAATAAATGTGAAAAGCACTGTCCTGGTTATGCTGCTATTAATGTATATTTTCTTTTCCTTTCTTATTAAAGTAAAAAAACTTCAAAGCAAGAATGCTGTCTTTCTGAACATAAATATGTTTGAATGTATATCCATTCAAGTGAGCGAATGCTGTGTGTTGGGACTAAGTTCGTTTTTGCTTTCTATACATGGATGGAATGGCTTCTATGTAACAGCATAATGCTGGAGGTTGAGGGTCACCTATAGGTCCAGGAAGCCCGTCTTTGTGCAGTGAGGCAGGGTGGCCTGGTGGTCGGAACATGGCCTTCTGAGGCAGAATGCCTGAGCCTGAGTACCATATCTCTATCCCCCACAGCAGGAGAGTAATGTAATTGCGCTGATTTTCAGATTGGAGGATGACGTTCATGATACTCAGCATTTAATCAGCATTTTCATCATTAGGTATAAAGTGTGAATGGTAATGGAACAAAACGGCGTTCTTCAGAATTCTTAATATAACAAGACTGGCTCAATCAGAGCTGAGTTGTCCAGAGTCACTTCAAGACTAGCTGCTCTCAAGCCAAAAAAATAATAACAAAATAAATAAGAGGCACTGCAGAAGATACGAACAGAGGAAAGAAAACAACATGTCAATCAGAGAGCGGTTCATAAATAGCGGAGTCTTGTGGTTTGGAGCCCAACAGCCCGAGTCCCGCACAGAATGCCCACAGCTCCTCAGCCTCAGGCAGTCACTGCAGTTCTGACCCCATGTGTTCCACCTGTACCACGGACGTCAGACCCTCCCGGCTCCTGGGAGCTGCAAACACGAGCATGCAAATCCCTGAGAACAGTGCCGAGCGCGTTATAAGTACCCAATAAATACTTAATACCTATTATCCTTTTTTTTTTTTTTCAAAAAGAGACAAAAGTGCAAACCGTGTCTGTGTCCCTGTATATGCAGTGCAGGAGAGAGGAGTGCTATTTTCTGGTCACATTGGGTGGATTGGATGCATTGTAGTCTGATAACATTTGAACTTTAAAACTCTACAGGTAATTCCCCTTATTTCAATTTGAGCCTCGCCAAGCATAAAATGTAAATGTATTCTTCACCGTAAAACCATAAATTAATATTCTGGCATTCAAGCCAATCTCTGTGCCACAATAGTTGCAGATAAACTAAACTCCCATTGATGTGGGGGAGGGTTTTTCTATCTAGAGGGGACGGGGGTGCGCACGTGTCTGTCTGAGTGACAGGTGGCAGAGAACGAGGGAGAAAAGGCTGTGAGGTATGAACGTTTTCACTGCTGTGCATGAGTCATTAGGGCGACTCTTTGGCGTGTAGCCTCCACCACATCTCAACATCATCCCCCTGCATGTTTGGATGGGGTTGCAGAGTACCAGAAAGCTGTTGGCCCGACCATCGGCCGGTTGGGCAATAGATAAGGGAACTCCAGAAGCTCAATTTTCCCTCTAGCTTTTGTGCTTTTCATGACTTACGTCTCACAAGCTGAGCTGAATCCATTTCCAAATCGGGAAGCACTTGAATCTCTTACTCCAAGCCCTATCACAAATCATGTTAATCATCTGTGTTTCAGTTTACCATCTCACGAACCCTCATCAGTTCCAAACCTGGCCCGTTCTTAGGGAGGCTTCAATCACTTCCAGAGTTCACCCCATGGTATTAAATTAGCCATCCTTAAAAACCTGCCTTCATTAACCTGGAGAGGCTCACCAGTAGTCACGGAGAGACTTGCTGGATCCGACTCTTTGAATAAAGACCGACAAAGGGGAATTTAGTCTACTGTATATATATTTGCTGTTGTATTACCAGACTGGGGACATTCCATCTGTAGCCTTCCCTGTTTGCTCTTGCACGATTGTTAACATTTCGGTGTTTCTTTGGGTTCACAGAACACAGTGATACAGACCAGGAGACGGCGCTGGCGGGCGCACAGGGCTTCCTGGGCTGTCTCTCTGCCGTGCAGCTCAGCCACGTGGCTCCTCTGAAGGCCGCGCTGCAGCCCAGTCACCTGGCCCCCATCACCGTCTCGGGACACGTGACAGAGTCCAGCTGTGTGGCCCAGAGTGGTACTGATGCCACATCAAGAGAAAGGACACACTCGTTTGCAGGTGGTGTGTGGCCCCTCCTTTACGCGGTAACGAACACACTGATCCCCTGGGCATTGAGTCCTCCGATGCTGCTGAGGCAGCGGGTCCTCGAGGTGGCTTCTCAAAATTGGCTTTGTTGGTTGACGTCCAATTCTCTTTCCCATTTCTTCTCTAGATTCTCAGTGCCTTATTCATGTGGGCCCCTGCAGTTGACACTGCTGAGCTTCAAAAAAGTTGGCGACAGGGATCCCACATTGACCTCCATAATTCTGCTCTGGTTTAAAATGTTTTAAGACTTTTTTTTTTTTTCAAAATTTCTTCTTTTTGATTGGCTATATCACTCCCTCCCCCCCTTTTTTATTCTTTCCCTGCAGATCATTCGGGAACAAGAGATGACAGAGAACCCCTCGCTAATGCAATCAGAAGTGACTCTGCAGTGATTGGAGGTAACAGAAAGCATGGATGGGCTCTTCTTTGGTACTTGTCATTACTAGGAGTGGCAAATATTGAGCATCAGAGAAACCATGAAGAATTCACACACATCCCCAGGGTTAGGCACTGAGGCCTGAGGTCAACGGGAGTGGTTTATTATTTATACTGGATTGCCTTCTAGAGTCTTCTTGAGTTCCTGAATTCCTTGACGAGTTTCAGTATAAATAATGGATAATTTCACCAAGGCACCACACTCAAGGAATAGTTGCTAAACTGTGTAAAAATGAGTTATCATTTAGCTTGAAAGTGGCCTTCTACAATCCCTAGGGAAATCTGAATATACTTGAGGAAGCAGTACGATTTTTGTTGGCTTCTTGGACTTTGTTATACTGCTTCTGCAAGAGTTTAAGTAAAAAGCAGGAAAAACTTACATTTTATGTTGTGGTCATGCTCAATAAAATGGATATTTCCATGGTTTAGGTGCTCACATCAATGAATATTACATTTTTAGTTGCATTTTTGTCAAATAATAGGCTAATGGAATAAAAGTGATTCATAGTCATTTTTAAATTGCAGAATTAACACAAAAAAATTTAAGTATATCTTCCTAGCAATGAAACAGCATATTCTCTGAGACATAATTTATTTAAAACCAACCCCCCAAAAATACCATCTTCTTCCTGATCAGTGGTCTTAAGAAGGTTATTAATAAGATAATGGAAATGCTTAGTGGCTCACCTTTTCTCCGCAGTCTGCGTAGGATAAGGACATAAAAAGTAAACAGTTATTTTATTACATTGCCAGATAATGTGATTATTCTTTTACTTGGGCAGTTTTTGTGGGCTTTATACCTGATCCATTTGTTCTATTTTTTGTACCTTTACTCATCCAGACATCAACTTCCTTTAAGAAGTTGGGATTTTACTGAGACAGTAGTACTAGTCAAATCTTTGTGAGGATATTAACATCCCCATTGCTATTTCAGGTATTTTTCTTTTAGCAAACTAATGGTGTATAAATTAAAGATACCCAAGATAAAATTCCCATTTAGTCATATAACAAGCAAAAAATAAACAACGGTAAGACCTGCTAGAACAGTAGTTAATAGCTGAATAACTGCATGTCTAAAAGAAATACATGAATATATTATTATTAATACATTATATGGTAAAACCTCATTTAAAGCTCTAGCATTTAATGTGCTTCACATTTTAAACTAGGATTCCTTGTCAAGCAGATTGTCGCAGTCTCATAATGGTGCTTCGTTTATACATTTAACTAGTATAGATATAGGGAGATAAAGACACAAAGATAGATATACGTAGAGAGTGACTGGACAGTCAAGCCAATGTTAGAACGAAATATTTAATCTTTAGAATACTGTTGCTTTGGGCAGAGATCATTGGGAAGATTTACAGACTAAAGAAGGGGTGTGTTGATAAGTCATTCTATGTTACTCTGGAACGGGAACAAGTTATGAGTCACCTGTGGAATCTCGCTTGGCTCAAACGCAGAGCACAGACAAAGGGTGGAAAATTTGCAGCCCAGGGATTGAGGGTCTAGGAATCCAGTGGCGTTTGCTTTTGGGCATTGCAGAGACTGAGCATCAGAGGCAAAGCAGCTGGGCATGGCCGTTTAAGCTCCGAAGGCCTTGTCTGGGACCACATGCGATTTATCTGCTAAATCACAGAATATCATCCTCTGGGGCGTTTCTCCATCTGGTAGCATCGTAATATAATTTTTCACCCGTTGTCTAGTTACTCGTAAATAGCACCCACTGTGTAGCCATAATTAATCCATTTAAAATTTCTTCAAATTGGCTAATCGCCCTATGTTCTACATTGTAGATGATCTTTGTCTTCACTTACAAACACTGAATAATGTAAGATGGGAAAATTGTTTATAAGACATTTAAAACTGGTGACCCAGATATTATAGAGAATTTCTGGCCAGGCTATGCAGATAAGGATGGTGAGATTTAGACAGAGAGAAAGCTGCACAGTATCTTCATAAAAACACAGTCAGACAGGGCCTCAGATGGCAGTGTCATGGAGCACAGTGCTTGGTGGTATTTTATTTAGTGTGTTGTTTTTTTTGTTTGTTTAACAGGTTAGATCAGGGTTTCCTTGGACATGACAAATCCTGACATAATACCTTCCCCCAAATTAAAGGAGATAAATCACATACATGGAACAAACTAGTTCCAGAGTCCATTCACGATTATGACTGTCTGGGTATCTCGTCTGGGCCACTGTGATGTTGATGTTTATTTTATAATTGCTGTCGCCTGCTCTCTATAATAGACTTCATCAGTTTTTCACATTGAAATTATTCAGAATGTCTCTCTTGATACAAGAGGCCTATAACAAGATGCCAGACAATAGAAATATTTATAGCAACTCAACTGCTGAGAGGCAAAATATATAACAACAATTAGATACTCTGAATAAAATTATTACTTACTAATATAACTAATAATGGATATGTAGTGAATTTTTTAGATTTCAAGTGCAGAATTTGGTTGCCACGTTTATATTAGATTTATGAGCAAAGAATTGCTGTCCTTCTCAGGTAAGTTTGACCCAGCCAAAAATCGGCTCGGCCATTGGCAGTATTATGATTTGCTGTAGTGAATCCGCCCATTAAATCATATGCTCAGGAATCAACTGTGATTGGTGAGAAATCACAGTTTCTGGTGATAACGATTCAGTGTGTTGGCTTGGTGGACTCTGTTAGAGTTATATGCACCTAATTGAAACTGGAAGGAAGAATCCTAGCTTTACAATATGACAGGTGATCCACGTTGTTGTTTTCACTGTACCTATTTTTGTCTAAAAACAACTACATCAGTTAATACCTCCACTGTTTTCATCAGAAAAGTCTAAGTATTAGGAAACTCTCAAACTCATGGTGACAGGCAGTAGTTTTCCAAATTCTATTTTTCATTTGAAAGCTTGACTTTTATCACTGGTAACATATATTGTCAGTTACTTTTTCTTGAAGTGACGGACTTACTTCACTCATTTCAGAGAAAGTATCTGTCGAATATCCAAGTCAAAACAACCATGGTTTATCAATCATTCTTTCAAATAAAAATGGTGTTCCATGAAGCCAAAAGTTGAGCTCACAAGTCAGCTTTTAACACAAACGCTTTTCCTGGGACACCCACTGTACTTGGAGATACACCCCAAGTACTTTCCATTTCATCGCCCAAAATGTTAAAAAGGCATGTAGCCAAAGGTCAAGATTTCATAAAATAAGTAATTTTTAGTGCTTCATCGAGGACATTCTTAAGTGAAGCTAGCTTTTTTCTTTTTTTCCGGGGTTGCCTGGCAGTGTAATAATGAATTCAGTGACCACTGTTACAGTTCGGTAGCCTTGCCTTAATTCATGCTAAGGTACCAGGAATTTTACCCAACCTTGTTTTACATTAGCAGTGGGTATGTCAACACAATGGAAAAGGCATCTTAGAATTATTATGAAAATAGCTTTGACCCCGTGGACCTCCTCAAAGTGTCCTGGGACCCAAAAGGGACTCACAGATCACACTTCGAAGAACTTCTGGCCCAATGTAATGCCAAGGTTGATGCCCATATATGGGCATAGTTAACAGTTGTGGTATTTAAATCTTTTATTTACAACCTTTACAACATTTACAATGTTTCAGAATATCAGTATTCCTCATATAGAAATAAGCTAAATAATCTATATTATCCATATGAATATATTTCACTAGTCAGGATTATTCAGATGCATATATCCTGTCCCTCCTATTCAGCAGTAGAACAAACTATTGCGAATCAACTGAATTACAGCGTTTAAGTATTTAAGTACAAAGACACATTTAATCACTTTACCATCTTACTACTATCTATAATTTTAAAGTAATTAAAATTTGTGTATTAATATGCAATGATCACATGGTCTTAGAGATGTGTTGGTAACATCTTGTGTTTAATGTAAAATGCACTAAAAATTTAAAAAAAAATAAATGGAAACGCACTGAATAAATCCAGTATGATATGCGTGTAGAGTAAATGGAGGCGAACCCACCAGGCTGATAGAACTCAGAAACAAACTCCATATATTATGATACCACCTGATCCAGAAATACTTGAGGTTTGGATATTTTTTTAATTTATAGATACCAGATGCTCGATTTATGTGGAAAATAAGTTTCTTATGACTTACTAAACCATGAAGTCCGCAGGGCTTCCATTTCGACACAAATTCTGATTTTACGTTCTTTTTCTCCTCTCTCGCTAGGTTTGATAGCTGTTGTGGTCTTTATCTTGCTGTGCATCGCTGCTGTAGCCGTTCGCATTTATCAGCAGAAAAGGTTATACAAAAGAAACGAGGCAAAAAGGTCAGAGAACGTAGACAGTGCTGAGGCTGTTTTGAAAAGTGAGCTTAATGTACAAAGTGCAGTCAATGAAAATCAGAAAGAGTACTTCTTCTGATTGGCGGCTGTGATTTAACTTGCGATTCCGGCAGTCTGTTTTAATAGCCAGGGGCTCTCGATGGACAAGAAAAGGCTCTTACACTGAATGTACAGGCAATGGATTTTCAGCACTGCCATCTTGCCATATCCAGACTCGAGATGGCTGCGGGAGGCCTCATCCGGTGACGTATTTCCCGTAGCAGTCGTTCTAGAGAACAAGGAATTCGATATTGCTCTTAATTTCCAGCTGTTCTGATAGGATCTAAAATGGAAGTTTGACTGGCTTGATGACTACGGTTTTTGAACGTGAAAACTGTAGCCCTGGTCTCTCAACCAGGTGATACATCCCTTTTGTTAGAGGGAAAAAATCAAAATTGGATGATAATAACTTGCTTTTTTTGAGAACATGCTCTGTGTTTGCTTTAGTGTCCCTCCAGTGTTATTCATAGACCTGGAAATGCTTCTCAGATCCTGTTTGGCTGGTGTTTGCATCTTCAGTGGCCAAAAGTATATCAACCCTTTGCCTTTCTCTGTATTACATTCAATACAATTTATCAATAGTCTCAAAAGATGTTTTGTTGTCGTTGCTTTGATCGTATTGCTCTTTTTCTATTGGACTCTTCTTAATGATTTTGAACGCATTGGGTTTTGAGTGTCAGACTTTAGCTCTGAATGTAAAATCCATATGTGACAGGACTCAGTGCATTGGTTGTCAGTGTGTGGTGTCCTACCTTTTAAATTTCTCATCATCTGCTATCCGTGTTCAGTGGTGGCAGTAGGGAAGACGCTGGATAAATGCCAATTTCCCAAAGAATGTGAAGTGTTTGCAACTACCAGGCTTGTTGATATGAAGAACACAATTCTTAACAATGCCAAAAAAATTATTTTTATTTACAACTGTAATGTCTCATATGAAACATACTTTTGAGAATACTTTCCCTGAGCCTTATGCCAGTTTTGGGTTTTTTTCAGGTTTGTACTTCTGTTTTTCTAAAGCTTGTCACCAAATTTTCTTTGATCTCCCTTGACTATATTCCACGGAGCACATTCCTGATGCATTAAAAAGAAAAAGGGACAATTTGAGGTAGAGAGCTCCGTTCCCCATTCTAAAACATATACCCCTTCAGGCATACATTTTTCCATGCACTGACCTCCAGGATAGGCTTTTTGAAATAGAAACTGCAGTCATGCCCCCTTTCACCAAAGCCAGTGGAGTAGTTAAAGGATGCTCACTCTAAGGGGTGATGGCATATTATCTGATCTGTGCGAAGTCTGCCATTCTGTCATGTCTCATTTATGGTGATGGGGTAATTTCTTAAAAAGTACCAGAAATCAATATAACCTACTAACTAGTACATTCTGATTAGGGTGTGTATACATACCAAGAGATCAGAGAATTATCAGTAACCTTAGGAAACTTGTTACAATAATGAATTTTGAGGCAAAGCAAATAAGATGCGTGCATGTAGTTATCTTGAAATTTCATAAGCCAGTTATATAATAAAGGCACTTTGCTATTTATGCTCACACATTCCAGGTGCCTGGCAAGGAAAAATTGGATTCCTTCATTTGTTCACACCAGAACAATTTGGAAATACATAAATTAAGCATCATATTTTCCTTCTTAACCTCCTTACAAAAGCTGCCTGTCTTTCCCATAGCTCTATAACCATTTTACTGTTTCTGTAAATGCCTGACTAAATCTTAGGATATGAATTAACATAGTAGCTTATGAAGGATCTATGTTGATAAATGGCGTACTTTTTTTTTTTTAATTGAAAGACTTGAAGGATTGAACACAGAAATGGTAGTTTTTATTTGATGCAAAGCTGAATACAAGCATAATAACGGCTCTGAATCTGTTGCAAGTGTTCATGTGATTTAGTAGCCGCATTAACCTGCTTGGGGATGTAGACAGGTTTATAGATGGTGAAGCCTCATGGTTCTGTGTGGTCCGCACTGCTAGAAACTGCAGCATTATGGCATCAAAACGCATTGATTCATCATATGTCATGATTTTCATGTCCTGATTTGTAATCTATTCCTTCTTTTTTTCTTAATAAAATGCATTTTTTGAAGTAAAATGCAGAATATATTTTAAGAGATGTTGTATAAAAGTTTAAAATGAGGGAATTATACTGGATTTTCATTTTCTTAAAACAGTAAAAAGATGTGTAGATGTTCACCTTCTTTACTGGTGGTCTGTGTTTTTTAAGCCTTTTGGTACATCCCATGATTATTATGAATTATTAACAAAAACTGCATTTGTCATGCATTTTCCTTTTAAGTGGACGCAAAAGTGACAGAAAAAAATTAGAAATATGTTTATTGATTATAACAAGTAAAGGCAGTTAAACAACATTTAAAGTTTTGCCAGAGAAAATATTTTGTCAGCAATTGTTTGTTGAAATGTTTTGTATTTTTAAATTGGTGATACCCTTCTACTTCTGCAGAGAGAGCTTGGCCAGTGAGCACTATATTGATACACAGGATTATATGGAGGAATATAGCGTACCCTTCTATAATATAAAAGTTTAAAAAATTCTTATCTGTGATTTCAAATGAAAACAATATATAATTAACATTCTCTTTTTGAGATGACTAACTTTCCAAATCTCATTAAATTCAGATGTACAGTATGCAAATAGAGTGGAGTTAATGTGGCACTGAAGACTTGGCTCTATGAAATGGGGGTCATCTGTGGGAAATGGCATCTTCATTTTGTGGAAGCTGTGTCACTGAAATGGCCCTTGTCCACTGTAAGAAATAGCTTCATTTTTTAAAAAATCCTTTCCTAAGTGTCACTCTTTGAAACACATTTAATAAATTCTTTAGACAGCAAGGTAAACAAGGAAAAGCAACAGACAGCCAACCAAACAGAAGCCAATTATTTAAAAGTGTTATCGGTAAAAAATAAAACTCTCAGTTATTTTACCAGCAAAAGTGGGTTTATTCAGGGAGAGCAGAGAAATGTAATCTGGGACAAGAGCCTACGGCAAAATTGTAGGCAAGTTGGCTGAACAAAGGGGTGGGGAGGATGCTGTGGAGTGGCTTTTCATTGGCTGGGCTGTTGCCGGGTAGGGGAGGAGGAAAGCCCTTCTCTCTGCCGGGGTAGTAAAGTAGTTTCCAGTGCGAGGTGGTCTTTTCCTGTTGGGTCTGCAGTTGAGTGATAGGACTTCAGGGCTCCCCCTGTTGCCCTCCCCCACTCTATTCTCCATGAGGTTTCCTTTTATAAAATTTTCACAAAATCATCTTTCATTAGTTGGTATTGTTCTTCCTGTATAACGGAATCTTGGAACAATGTCCATCATGCACCTGGAGAGCACTGATATGTTGTTATATAATAATATCTATAGTGCAGACTGCTCAGTTTTACCAATGAAATGTCTAGGATGCAGATAAATGAGGTGATGTCCCCAAAGGGATATGTAGCAATGCGAAAATGGTGAAGCTGGGGACTAGAATTTCCTTTTTACTCCACATGTTGCTGATCTTGGTACTTCCAAGACCTCGAGTTTTGACAGTTAACTAGTGGTGTAGAAAATTGGAAGGAACTTGGTGTCCTTTTTGACAAGAATGACCTATAGTTCTAATCTTTCCGGTATCCTTTAAAATGAACATAAACCTTTATCTGATAGGTCAGATTTGGTTTTCTTTAAAAAATGTGTATTAAGTTGATGGCCCTGGACTCCAGGAGAGATAATTATAACTGGAGCATTTTTATGTGGTCTTTGTGAAATACATAATATGAGTTAGATCTGACAGATTGAGTCACAAAATATTTTCCTTATAATGAAGAAACAGATGACATAGACCCAACTCATATCAACCTATGTTCAGTTGATTGACTTTCCAGTCCTGTGTCAACTACATGATGAATCTACCGGAAACCTTCAGGATGTCCTGGCAGTTCTTTTATTTTCCCAAAGTTTTGGGTGATGGAGAGTGGTAACAGGGAAGAAAGAGAATAGAAGCCCACTGTCTGTGTGTTGGGGACATGGGCGAGTGAGCACATGCATGTGTACAAGAAGGAATACAAAATGAGAAAGAGAATATGAAATAGTTTGCATATAATTTAGTAAAAGAGTTGGACTTTTGGTGTGGCAGTAGCTTCCCTGGGGGACGGTTTTGAAGATTTGCAAATGAAAATAAATGGAATGGAAAACGATCTGACCCACGATTATAATGGCTTCGCCAGTGCAGTCATTTTTCCCTTCTTTTCCCTACTTATTTATTTATTTATTTATTTATTTATAAAGATTTTATTTATCTTTTGACACACAGAGAGAGATAGCGAGAGAGGGAACACAAGCAGGGGGAGTGGGCAGAGGGAGAAGCAGGCTTCCCGCCGAGAAGGGAGCCCGATGCGGGGCTCGATCTCAGGACCCTGGGATCATGACCTGAGCCGAAGGCAGACGCTTAACGACTGAACCACCCAGGCGCCCCTCTTTTCCCTATTTATAACATATTTAAATTTTTGTTAAAAAATACATGAATATATTTAAAAAATGAAACCAGCATAAGAAATCTTGCAAGGAAAAACAGTTCTCTGTTGCCATATCCCCTCCTGGTCACCTTCGGCTCCTTTAGCTGCCTCTTGGGAGCTGTCTCCATTTTTTAATCACATGCTATAGCAGACTGGGTTCCCTGGGAGGTAAACTCAGAAATAGCAGTTATCATGAAGGACATTTATCAGGGGTACTGTCCGGAACAACATCTGTGGGGGGCAGAGGGGACAAGGCAGGATGGGGCTGATGGAGAAGCTGGGCTGCGGGGCAGTCATCCAAGGGTGCAGCCAATCCTGCTCCTAGGGCCCCTTAAAGATGTCCTGAGTGGAAGTGAGGGGGCTGGGTATTTACACTCTTGTATCAACCAGGCATTGAGTGTTGACTGCCCGGTGAAGTGGGCATGAACTTGGACAAACAGCTCTCTTCAGCTTCAGCAGCTCCTAAAGGAGGAGGACAAAAACTGCTCAGTGTCTGGGGGAAATAAATCCTTCAGTCCTGCAACAGGGATCTGGGTGGCCCAGCTCAGCATCCCTGAGGGTTCACCCTGCTGGTGAGCCTCACTTCCTGGGAAACATACACGAGGAAGGAGGATGGAACAGACCACAGACCCTGCCCCTGCAGGAGATCTCTTGGCTGCAGCTGGTACTCATTCTCTCCCTCCTCCGCTGCCCATGCAGGACTCCAATCACTCCAGCTGACAGCCCTGCAGAGAGTTTGAACCCTTGTCTCCTACGACCTCTCGAGCTATAGCTGCTGCTCTTTTGCATTTACCATTAAAATTGGTCAAAGGAGTATCTACTTGCCAAACATATTCCTCCTTGTCCCTGAAGTGTGACAGTGACTCTCTCTTATCACCAGTCAGGGACAGTTACCCCTGACATAGCCGCCCACAAAACATTGCATCAGCCAAAGATCCACGTTACAGGAAAGGATCTATGGGAGTGAGCACATTTCCGTGAGATCTGCTGGTCCTTCTATATCATACCCTCAGAAGGTCTCTGTAGATCCTCAAAAGGTGGTGTTGGCTGATACCTTAGAGGTGATAAAGACAACTCGTATCTGAAATAAGTAATGATTCCAATCAAAAGTAACGTCTAGTCCTTTCAGGATAGAAAAGATCTGATGTAGTCAACTTGCCAGAAAATTGGTGCTTTTATAGAGGGGAACCATTCTGGGGAATGGACACTGGTCTCTGTGGCTGAGCATTTGAACGTTCAGGAGTGATGTTATATCAGTCCTGAGGAGCTCATGCTTCCGTTCCTGCCTCCACAGCTACTCTGTTCATGTATCCATTGACCTAGCAGTGACCAGTGATTGAGGTTGGTTGATACCAACTGCTTAAGTCATTCTGTCTACTTGGCTGTTCAGTGATTGTCTCATGGCGCATATGCTTTCTGGTGGCCAAAGATCTTTACATTTTGTGCCTACCCCATAGGTACATCCATCTGCTTCTATTTCAGACCTTCTTGTCTCTGATCTTCCAAATCTCCTAGGACCCTGACAAACTGGCCAAATTACTGCCCATAAGTCCATATATATTATAACCTTGAGCCCTTTCTTTCACACAAACTGGATGACCATGGCATCATCCAGAAGTTCTGCTCCTTTGGAGGGTTTCTCCTCACCACCATCTTTCTGTGGCCCTCTGATTACAACTCTAGTGACTGGTGTTACCTTCCATTTCAGCTTGCGCTCACGTTCTCAATCAAGCCATCTGTGCACCAGGTTCATACTTTTCCCTTCTCTGGCAGCTGGTAATAGGGGGTCATTCGTGCAACTCTAAGTGTAAGCTGCGGGAACTGTGCTGGAGAAGAGTAGTGGATGATGTAAGGATCTGGCCCGATGGCTTGTGTAGCTTGTTTGTGCCTGCTCATGCTTGATCCCACATGTACCGTTTCCCATTTGTGTTGGCTTTCAGCTGAGCCCAGATGACTTGTGACTTGGTGGGTCTGAGAGAACCCAGCTCATTATAGGCAAATTTGCCCACAGTTAGTGAGGTACTTCCTCTGTAGCAGGGTTCAGTAGCGTGTCAGGAGATTTTATTTTTATTTATTTATTTTTTAAAGATTTTATTTATTTATTTATTTATTTGTCAGAGAGAAAGAGAGCACAAGCAGGGGGAGCGGCAGGCGGAGGGAGAAGCAGGCTCCCCGCTGAGCAAGGAGCCTGATGCGGGACTCGATCCCAGGACCCTGGGATCATGAGCTGAGCCGAAGGCAGAGGCTTAACCAACTGAGCCACCCAGGCATCCCAGGAGATTTTTTTTTTTTTAAGAGAGTTGTATATTTCTCTGCTGCAGATGACATGGCATTGCTCCCAAACCTTGAATTTCTGCAGTGTGATGTTCCTGTTGTCAATGGCCAATGACATCTCTACAGCATATCATACAGTGATACCACATAGGGTCTGTAGGGTTGTATGGTCCAAGGGGCCTGACTACTTATCTGCTGTCTAGACCCACTGTAGAACCTGTTCTTCTTCAGCCCCATTCAAAGCTGGCTGAAGCCTTACATGTCACCCAGTGTTTGGTCACAGATCTATTCCCAAGTGTGGAAAAGGCTGCTTCCAGAACCCAAAGAAGCCTACCAGGCACCGTGCTATCTTTTTCATAGTGGGAAATGAGAGAGGCAAGACTTTTTTATTGACTTTGGAGAGAGGTCCCAGCATGCCCTAGATGAGGGGTCAGCAAACTTTCTGTAAGATGTTTTAGGCTTGTGGGCCATAGAGTCTCTGCCACAACTCCTCAACTCTGTCATTGTCACATGAGAGCATCCATAGACAATATGAAAAAAAAAAAAGTATAGCTGTATTCCCCCAAAGCTGT